GAATATGTTATCCACCTCCGGTTTACCTTACAGCAATACGTCTTCACTTGAAGGATCTGGTGTTTATTCACGTTTGTTGAAGGATGGACTGCACGTGCGCAAGTTCGAGAGTCAAGCAGAGTTAAAGAGTCAGTGACGTGGTTAAACTTGTCTGGAATCCCACATGGGCTAAATTTAGGTATTAAACGTGAAAAGTTACACTGTTATTCTTTGAGACACTTCCTAACCAAATAATGACGAGTGTTATCGTCATTATCGAGAAGGAATGCATGAAATAGAAAAACGTCTTTTCCACTGTTTTTGTTCTCGTTTTCAGTCTTTATTTTTGGGTTTTTAAACATCGATTATCTGCTTTAGGATGACTACCAATATCAATATTTTGGGGTTTAGTCATAAGTTATAAGTGTGTCTCTCTTTAAGATGTTCGGGTTATCTGTAGCTCAATAAAAGAGTCAGCTTTTCTCTTTATATCTTGATCTTCCAGATATAAGATCTTTTATCTTCATCTGTAATATATTACTCCCTTCCCTGTGTCCGGCTTATCTGTAACTTAGTAAAACAGTGTTATTTCCTCTCCAGAAATCAGTGGTCAAACTCATTACCCCAACATTAAACTGTAACACTGTCCTATACTTCTTCCTTTATTGTCTGATTATCTACAACTCAGCATGCAGTAACATAGCCTTATCCCTCTCCTAATATTCTGCGCTGCTCTACAAACAAGGAATTTCTCCAACCCTCCCCATGCACTCTCGAAAGGGGGGGGGGATAAGCGTTCTCTCCTACTGTCTGTTCTGTAGATGAAAAATGTAGTGAGTCACAAGAGTGTGGCGGTTGGTTACCGTGGCGGATTCGTTTTTTCAACAATGTCGCTCAGTTCGGAGGTGCGACTTCAGCTCTAAGAAGTGGCTTCGGTTATCATCTCGACACAACACATAGTGTTGCCAAATTAACTTGCTGAAAAACGTAAAGTGTAATGTGTCGAGTCATATTTCAGCGTACTACAACATGCTACCTGAACAAAAGTACAGCCTAGTTCGCACGTGACAGTTTCAAAATGTGAGCTTTGAGCGCAGACAAGAACCACAGAGCGAACCAAGAACAGATAAACTGTTTATTGGTACCGTATCACACGAGACTGGTAAAAAAAAATTTCTAAGTAAATAAATGTACATTAATACTAGCTGGAGAAAAACTGGCTACTAGTAATATCTATATCAGGCTATATACCTTATGATAAAACGAGACGCTATAACTTCACACACAATTCCGTAAAGCAGACATGACTAACGTTCTTATAATATAGCTGACACGGCCTAGTAACATGTTTAGTTTTGTTTTTCATTGTTTGATAAAAATTAGTAGATACAAATACACACAAGCTTAAAAGATTAGTTTCAAAGTTAATATTACGCAGTCGTTAGGTATCCGAGATGTTTTTCAGGTTCTGGTTTAACGAATCATTTGTCGAAAATTCACGTTAAGCCCGTGAAGCTCACGTGGCATAGCTTATGTAGCCACGTAATTAACATGCTTTTCATGTTCAGCTAATGTAAAAATTACCAGCATTATGATCGAACAAAAACTAGTATGGTGCTAAAGTGGTCACTTGAACAGCTTCCGAGTCTAACTAACAAATAATTACAAAGTAAAAATGACCATTCCAATTTGAACTTTACATTAATAAAAGATGTAAAAAAAAATCTCAAGAATAAATGTTCCAGAGAAACGTTTTAACACTTCATTTAGTTCACGCGTTCCATTTTGGTAGAATAATTAATCTTCGTTACTTTAAGGATCATAAAACAGTCTCAATCACTTGCACGTGTCTCGAATTTGAATATTCCTACTCATTATGATAGTACTCAGGATGCTACAACACGGAGATTGTTACTTAGTGCAACGTGAGCCGTCATATTTTTGGTTACATATATCCATAAATTACGTTTTGGCAAAACTGAAACGACAATTAGACATTCTGATTTTCAACAAACATTTTCTTTGGGGGTGAACTTCTTATAGTAACGCTTGTCTTCTAAAGAAATAACGTTCAGCATTCTTCTGGAATCAAGCCAAAAGTTAAGGGACAAGAGAACAACATTCTGCATATATAGAAAGCTATTTTTTGACTACTATGTACAATCTACACAAGAGTTCTAAAACACAATTTGAAGATGTTATAACTGTTTGTTTGATATTTAATATAAAAATTACTACAGAGTGAGTTTGTTTGTTTGTTGAACTTCAAGCAAAGCTGCTGGAGGGCTTTCTACGTTAACTGTCCCTAATTTAAAAGTGATAGTGGGAAAGCATCTAGTCAAAAACGCACACCGCCAAATCTTGAGTTACTCTTTACCAACGAAAAGTGGGATTGACAGTTACATTATAACGCCCTCACAGCTGAAAGGGCGAACGTGGTTGGTAACGGGATTCGATCCTGCCACTCTTAGGTTGCTAATCAAGTGTCCTAACCACTAGGCCATTTATACTGTGGATTAATCGCAGTTTACAGGAACAATGCTTCTTCCATTGTTGGTCGAGCTCAACATGGTGGCCATGATTAAGCACTATTGCCCAACACCTCAATTTCTGTTGTACTAAGATCTGCATAGTACAGCAACGTCAAGTGGAAGTACAACCGAAAATATCACTAACATCGAGGTACCCAACTTATGACTCAATGCATTCTAATAACTAAAAGTTTTTGTCTTACGACACTGCATACATTAAGTAAAAATGTTGTGTTATTAAATTAGTTACATTAAAATGTGTTAATATTTAGTTCTGATCTACGTAAACAGCTGGCTTTGATCAAAAGTTAATAATAATTAGACAAAGCATCTTGACATACTTTCCACACACTCTCCAATTAGTGTGGGCATAGGTTTCCAAGAACATGTTTAAGCAGATTGAAGAAGACACAAAATTCTATTGGTATGTGATCAAATGAAATTCATATTTCTTAAATCATCTTTCTCATCCAAACAGCCGCTAATTTCATGATGTGGCTGGAAGCTTGTTACCTTTTGACTTGTAAACCTCTCTCAACTTCAGTTCTTTAATTGCCTTCGTGGTATATATACGAGAAGATATGTCCAGACTGCAGTGGCATTTCGGTCGGTGTGTTCTCTTTTATAACTGTAGCCTTCATCATGTAGATGTGAGCATGAGTTAGGATTATTATGGGTGTGTGGTTTCGGAAGCCCATTGCAGTCCTATAGGATTTGCTGTGCGAGTTTTTCACACCATGGAGGACACTGAGGACTCACTTTTTCAAACTACTGCGTCCTTTGGCTCTACTTTGTATAACAGTAACCCTAAACGAATATCCCTCTCGGTAAGATCTGTGACATATGTCTCCACCCATAAGATTCTACGTGTAGTATTGAATTGTTAATAGTCAGGAATTCGCGATAAGCCAAATATGCAAGTGCTACACGTGTCTCTGCTGTATTAGCATATACAAACTGTTCTTACAAAATGAGATGAACTCTGTATATACTGGTTTCCCTATACCTTTATACCATAATGGAAATAGCGACATCAAGGAACGAACTGTCCTGCCATTGGATTACACTAAACCTTTATTTACAGTGAGTTCTTAACACGTGGAAACTATCATGCACACGTGTTTTTCATATACACAAATACTCTCAAAATTCCAAATAAAATACAGGTCTAGGTGGCATAGCACAAGACTGTAACTCACGCTGTAAATTATCGAAAAACATAGTCACTGTGTAAAATGGTTAAAAAATAATAACAGGTAACACAGTAGAGGTTACATTAGTTAATCTGAACATTATATACTTTTTATTATCATTTGAGTGTGTACCTCATTCGTTGATATAAACAGTTGTTTCAACGTGCACATACAATTTTATTAGTTCTGTTTAATTCTTAATCCTAGAGTGGTAACTAGTATGTATATATATTAGTAAACTTGCGTTTTAAAACAATTGTGTCAACGTGCACATACAACTTCATTAGTCCTGTTTAATTCTTAATCCTAGAGTGGTAACTAGTATGTATATATATTAGTAAAGTTGCGTTTTAAAACAATTGTGTCAACGTGCACATAAAACTTCATTAGTCCTGTTTAATTCTTAATCATAGAGTGGTAACGAGTATATGTATATATATTAGTAAACTTGCGTTTTAAAACAATTGTGTCAACGTGCACATACAACTTCATTAGTCCTGTTTAATTCTTAATCCTAGAGTGGTAACTAGTATGTATATATATTAGTAAAGTTGCGTTTTAAAACAATTGTGTCAACGTGCACATACAACTTCATTAGTCCTGTTTAATTCTTAATCATAGTGTTAACTAGTATGTATATATATTAGTAAAGTTGAATTTTAAAACAGTTGTTTTAGTGTGCACATACAACGTCATTAGTCCTGTTTAATTCTTAATCCTAGAGTGGTAAATACTGTGTATATTAGTAAACTTGCGTTTAACAACAGTTGTTTTAATTTTTTGTGTCAACACACTACTCCATTAGTTCTGCTTGACTTATATTCCTAATGTTAAATAGTATTTATACTAGTAACATTGCGTTTAAAACAGTAGTTTCAATGTGCACACACATTATTACTTTACTAATCTTGTTTGACTGTTACTACTAAAGTGCTAACTAGTATTTATACTAGTAACAATGCGTTGTAAAACAATAGTTTCAATGCTCATATTATTACTTCATTAATCCTGCTTAACTGTTACTACTAGAGTGCTAACTAGTATCTATACTAGTAACAATGCGTTGTAAAACAATAATTTCAATGTGCACTCATATTATTACTTCATCAATCCTGCTTAACTGTCACTACTAGATTGCTAACTAGTATTTATACTAGTAACGTTGCATTTTACAATGCAATTGCGCAATGTTGTTGGTCTAAATATTATATAGTGATGTTGTTGTTGTACTAATTGTACCATTCTTAACTTAAGGATCAAGTATATCTAGATTCAAAATAAAACATTAAAAATTTACCTGGAATCGCTTCACCAGGTACATCATCATCACTGAAGCCCTTTTCAGAATACGCGTATTTAACATATGAACATGCTAATTCGTTCGGCGTTGTGGCTGATGTCCTGTAACAAATCAGACAGACAACTAGCGTTAATAATGCGTACTTAAACTGGCCCGGCGTTTGGCTCTGATATTTGGCCATAATTCTCCTTCCGAGTTAGGGCTAGGCCAGCAGAGAGTGTCTGTCGGGTGGCCTGAGTGAACCTTACGAGCTGGTTCAACGCTCGCAGTTACCGTCTCGATATTATTAGTTGCTGTTTCCCAACTTTACTTCTTTAGCGTTCCTGGCAAAACCCTTCCCCTCTCGACTCTTAAGAATGTTCTGTTTAGTTGGCAGGAGTAATTTCTTTACTCAATCAAGATCTCTGTCAATTCTCAAATCATCTTCAGTTTACGTCACTTAAAAACTACCCTCGCAGCCATGTCTCCACACGGCGGTACACGCGTTTGGCACCCTTCAGCAAATCTCGAGAGCTGTTCTATGTATCGTTGTTTCTCCCTCAGGTAAGGAACAGCGGACTGGAATATAATATCAAAGCTATATTTTCGAATTCTCGTATCTCTAGTACTTATCTAGTAATACAAAACTTATAAAGAATAATACTGTGTACAAATATTTAGTAAATCAGCTAAAAATTTTCAACTCGAATAATAACGAGCGTGCAAAAGGCGTAATACTTCCTGAAAGTTAACTGTGATTGGTCGGTTCTGAGATTTCTTATTCATTCACCAGATGGCAAGAGAAGCGAGCGACTAACAGAAGTGCAGCAGATGTCGGCGTCCGAATAGTTTAGCATTAGGTGCTCGTTTTCTCTTGATGTGTCGTGCATAATTTTTAAGACTTAGTTGATAAACCATTAAAAAAGTGGAATGGATAAACGTAGTTCGAAAAATAAAATTATTTTATATTACAGAATCTAATCTGCTTTGTGCCTGTCCACTCTCCTTAAGGTTAAACTGCAAGTTGCATATATCATCCGGTTGATTTTATTATACAAAAACAATTTCAAAAAAAAAGAATTATTAGACGTATTTCGTCTATTTCTAACCCAGAAAATTGTTATTTAATTATTAGTTATTTGCTTGTGTTTAAGCGCGAAGCTATACAGTGATCTATCTGTATTGTGCTCACCACGGGAATCAAACAACAATTTTCAGCTTTACAAGACCTGAAGTTTACCTTTATGCCGACGGAGGTCATCATAATTAACAAAGAGAACGTTTTTAAAGTGACAAAATTCATTTACAGTAACTATTGATACCTGTTTTCATATTATTCTACAACAGTAGCAATTCAGATAACAAACTTTCACTTTGAGCGGTGACATTCGGCAGCCTTGGAAACTACAAGGTAGATTCGAGTAACATCCAACAGGCTGTGGTTGCAGCCAAGATGTTAAAACTGCAAAAACTCGTTTGTTACCTGACCTTGCGAACTGTATGTCTAAAATCATTGCCGACTTGGTCCTTAGTAGGTAGAATATAAGGTTAAGTAGAAGACGCTACTGCCAGAATATAAGGTTAAGTAGTGGACACTAATGGCAGAATATAAAGGTTAAGTAGAATATGCAACTAACCGAATATACGGGTTAAGTGATGGACACTAGTGGCAAAATATAAGGTTAAGTGGTGGACACAAATAGTAGAATATAAGGGTTAAATAGTGGACACTAGTTGTAGAATATAAGGTTAAGCAGTTGACGCTATTGCTAGAACATAAGGGTTAAGTAGAAGACGCTACTGGCAGAATATAAAGCTAAGTAGTGGATATTAATGACAAAAAATAAGGGTTAAGTAGTTGCCGCTAATGCTAGAACATAATGGTTAAGTAGGCGCTATTGGCAGAATATGAGGTTGAGTAGTAGATACTAATGGTAGAATATAAGGGTTAGTTAGAAGATGCTGCTGGCAAAACATAAGTTGTGTAGTGGACACTAATGACAGGATATAAGGGTTAAGTAATGGACACTAATGGCAAGATATATAGTTAAGTAGTGGACACTAATGGCAGGATATAAGGGTTAAATGGTGGACACTAATCGTGAAATATAAGGTTTAAGTAGAAGACGGTACTAGCTGTACGTAAAGATCAAGCAAGAGACGCTAATACTAAAATTCTGAGTTCGATTCCTCGCGCTGGACATAGCAGATATCCTAATGCGGCTTTACTCTAAAACAAACAAAATATATAAGATTTAGTAGAGAATGTTACGGAAATAACATAGAGATTACCTTCAAACCAGATCTTTCCTAAAAGGATCTGAATAAACTTGCAGATGAGTCTTTAACATTTTAGTCACTTGTGTCTACCACAACAAGTCGGAAATAAATATAAATCAAGTTAAAAAGGATTCTATATTCTCAGCCTAGGATTATATCATAGAACTTTTATTTTAAACTCGAAGAAGATAACATGAAACGTTAAGTGTATCAAATATAACAATTTTCTTCGAGAGACATGTAGGGTATTAGAATAAAGATTCTTAAATTCGGGTAATCCGCTAACTGAAAGGCCTTGAAAACGGATTAAGCTACTAATTTAAATTGTTGGATATAAAGAAATCAAAAGAATAAAAATATTGTGTTCATTAATGTCTATGTTGTTAGGATGGATTAACTGTTCAAAGTTAAGGTATACATATTTGCTTTCTACTTTAAAGACATGATTAATTCTCGTGCTATTTGTGTACAGAAAGTTCTAGACAAGACCTTCGTTGTTAAGGAAAATATTCTACGAGAAATAATGAGTCTTCTTAATTATTAAACCTAAAGAAGTGTTCATACATAAAGAAAACTGTAATTCCAGTTAATGAGTGTTTTAATTTGATGCGTACTCCAAATCAAATCAACTTTAGTAAAATAAGTGATACACAAATATATTAATTTAATCCATTGCTTCATGTAGTAAATATATATAAAGTAGTCATAACCGTACTTTAACTAAAAATCTCTAAGAGCCATCCGTTCATAAAATAAGTAATTTTGGAACTCTTTAAATATTTTCTTTACAATTATGAAAGGATTAAATGTCCTCTAGAAAGAGTTCTTTATTAAGTAACTGGGTTATTGATTATTTGTTTGTTTTCGGATATTCACTCAAAGCTACTCAGAAGTTATCTACGCTAATCGTCCCTACTATTAACCTAATAGAACAGAGAGAGAAGGCAGCTAGTCAGAATCACCCTCGGCCAGCTCTTGAGTATCTCTTGTCAGACACAATAGTGGGATTTGATCGTCACTCTTATAACGCATTCACGGCCTCAGAATGTGGATCGCTATTGTGTGTGTGTGTGTGTGTGTGGTAACGGGACGCAAATAATGGATCCGCATTTCCATTGTCCGGTACGATAACCACTGAGCCAAAACGGGGTATCAGATTGGTGGTAATTAAAGTTTCGATAACTTTTGAAGCTACAGACACAAACAATTCATAAATAGACTGACGGAAATCATCACATGATATAAACATTAAAACAGTCATAACTTATTAAAATTCTTATAATAAACAACTTACAATTGGTTGTTAACTTGCTTAATAATAATGTGTATTTTCAAGTGTAACCTAATAATACCTCATGACACTGAAATGCTTATGACCTTTACACCTAAACCGATAGACTCAACAAGTATGCAAAATATCTATAGTGAAGTTAAATACACATTTATAAGAATTTGCTGTCCTTGGAACCACTTCCTCCATTGACGATTGTGTTTACTCTGATGGCCATGATAACGCACAACTGCACAATATCCCAATATTTATTGTAACTGTGATATATACGGCCATAACCATAACAGTGACAGTAGAAAGTTAAGTAAATGCTTTTTGTTAACGAAGAGGTATCAGTAGTAAGTAATGTGACTGTTTTTGTTTTATTTGTTTGTTTGTTGTTATTGTTTATTGCGCTTATAGTTAGTGTAGGATTGACATAGGAGATTAATGTGTTTTTGTCCAATAGCTTTAGTAACAATAGTTAGACGAGATGGTGGTATCTTATGCTTTCATTGGTTGCAATTGTTGGTAAATCATGTAGCTTGTAATTAGCCTCAAAAGGCCTATGACAGTATCAAACAGTATCTGTATTATTTGCCAAGAATAAAGTAAGGAAGACACATATACGTGAAGCAGGTGAACAAGGACTAAAGTCAATGAAGGAGGCAACACAAGGACATGAAGTGAAATAATCCACCAACTTCAGTTTGGAGCTTTTTTTAACTTTATAATTGACGATTGTTGTAGGAGGGGTAGATTTCAATGGTAACTTCTTCTGCTAGATTACAGTGTCAATTCCAAACTTCAGCTAGCCACAAAACGTTGCCGTGCTTAGCTGCAAATTGAAGATTATCTTGTAGTCACAGCATTACTGTGTTTAAAACCTCATGATCTTGTACCTTCTTCATCACAGATGTGAGATGATGTTTACCTGCAGAAGCTATAAGGCCATTAACTCCAACTAACTGAACAGTCATTTTGAGATCAAGTTCAGCGACCCTCATTATTTATTCACCCAATTTGAATGTAGCTACAGAGATGACTCTGTTTTGGATGCATTTCTTGACAAAACGTACAGTTTTCCCAGATCATATCTACAGATTTAATACAACTAAAATATCTTGTTTTGTCTGTAATGTTGTCTTTTCTTGGATCATTGCCCATGGCAAGATCTGACAGATCAGTTGTCATGGGATTTTGTCTTTGTATATGTATTGTGTATAGGAATATCTGTGTCACACCATTTAAATTGTGTATTTTGTTGCTATGCATAAAATTACACGAAGGGCTGTCGTTGCTGTGCCCACCACCGGTATCGAAACCCAGTTTTTAGCATTAGAAGCCTGATCAGTCTACTGGAGAAAGACAAACACTCTTAGTTCCATTTAAGTATAACTATGTATCTTACATTTGATATATTTATCTCAGGATGATGAGATGTCGATACCCGTTTACCATCCTCACGAAGACGCCTTTCTTTCATTGCTATTTGTTGTGTTCAGAGAGACATTTTAACACACCCTACTCACAATGGTTTCAATGTGAATGACGATGCTACAGCTGCTGGCATTCGTACACGTTTCTTCACTTTATTCATTTATTTTGATAATTATTTAATTTTATATTGCGGATAAAAGGTTTACATTAAGCCTGATAACGAGCAAATATGGACGCATGTTAGAAACTGTTGTTACCGACCTTTAACAAAAAATGCTATTGTATTTCATATGTGTCACTCAAATGTTGGCGACCCTTTCGATTTGTAATTTTGAGGATCAAAGAGTTAACACACAGCTTGGTAACAACAATATTTAGATTCAGCACTTCGAATTGTCTCAGAAAGACCTGTTAACAACTTTTATTAGAAAATGCCTTCTAAAGTTGACTTTATCAAAACCCGTCTTATCTGCTATGCTAGATTGGAGGGTGGTTTCGGAGCTTCATTCTTTGGGAGTTT